CTTTTCCAGCTCAAGACATGACAATCGTTTTACATATGGAGGGCGGGTGGTTTTCAAAAGATGGCTCTCGTTTTAGCGCCTTGCACATTCTGTGTCAAAAACTGCAGGAGCTTCACGGATTGAGGGCGGGTAGTTTTCAGAATGTGGCTCTCGCCTTAGCGCCGCGCACATTCGTTTTTTTTTGTGTGTATATATAAATGTACATTTAACACAAAAACAAAAACAAAAAAGCACGCACGAGCTTCACGGATTGAGGGCAGTTCTTTGTCAAAATGTGGTTCTCGTCTTAGCGCCGCGCACACTCGCTTTCAAAAAATGCAAGCGTTCCACGGACTCCCTTGATCGACGTAGCATAAAATGGTGTCTTGGAAGGATTCACGGTTATGAGGGCGGAACAGTTACGATGTTCCGCGGTGTTGAAATCCCAGGTATGGCGTTCCGGCACGATCAAGGGTCGTCAAGACGCAACTGTCACGTTTATCCGTGGCGTTGGAGTACCGAGAACAATGCTTCAACATGTTTCAGGGTCTTTAAGCGGGTGTCTTCCAAAGAGGCAGGCCCCTCTGTGGGATTGAGCAGTTGTAGGGGCCTATGAAGAGGGAGCTTGGGCAGAGGGTGTATTCCAACATCGTTGGTTGCTCTTGTGTTTGCACTGGTCCTCCTTCTCCTCCTCTTCCTCGTCCTATTCTCGTTCTTCTTCTCCTCCTCCTCCTCCTCCTGTTCCTCCTCCTCCTCCTCCTTCCCACTCTTGTTCTTCGGGCCCCCGAGCTTAACGCAAAAGCAGTGCCGAGCAATGCCGAGCATTGAGCCCATGAAAGAGGGAGCGTTTCCCCCGCGTTGGGGTCGCGCGGGGTTCGTTTTTCTTGTTGTTGCGTTGGCGTTTTTTCCTGTGATTTCGGCCCTAGGGAGCCGTCTACGGTCCCCGGGGCCGCCAAAACTGGATCTTCAGCGGTGGTGTTTTCCGTGCGTTCGGCCCCGGGGAGCCCCGTCTGCGGGCCCCCGGGGCCACCAAAAGTGGATCTTCAGCGGAAGCCGACCCGGGGCGTTGCGAGAGATACCCCCGGCCCAAGGTGCCCCCCAGGAGTTCCAGGGGGCGGGGCCCACGGCCTCCCGAGCATTCCTCACAGTGGAGCGAGAAAAGCTGGGGGCGCCTTGGGCCAGAGGCCAGGTGCACCTTTCTTGCTCCTCCTACTCCTCCTCCACCTCCACCTCCCCCTCCTCCTCCTCCTCCTCCACCTCCTCCTCCTTCTCCTCCTTCCTCCTCCACCTCCACCTCCACCTCCACCTCCTCCTCCTCCTCCTCCTCCTCCTCCTCCTCCTCCTCCTCCTCCTCCTCCTCCTCCTCCTCCTCCTCCTCCTCCTCCTCCTCCTCCTCCTCCCCCCGAGGATGGTGTCGGGACCTCCCTGGGGCCGCGCGCTGACAGCAGTCAATCACGTCGTTGGCTGTCCTGGTGCACCGCCGGCCCGGGACGGGCGCACCCTGGGCCCCGGACCTGGCGCGCGGAGGCTGCCAAGGGAGAGGGGGGTTTCGGGAGAGGCCCGGGCACAGTCCGCACCCCGCCCTCGCCGATCGACGATTGAGGCAACGCGGCGGGCGGCGAGGGCAGGGGTCCAGAATGCGTTGAACACGCTCCAGCAGTGGCAAAGCTCCCCGGCGTGCGTATAGGCCTACCACACAATATTATAAGGACCGTTTGAGATTTCCGCGACATGTTCTTAGAACATTTCTTGTTGGGACTGTCTTGTCTCAACACGTCGGGCTTATACATGTTCTAAGAACATTGCTTTTGTTTGTTATTAGAACAGCTTTTGGTTCTGAGAACATGTCGTGGTATACCTATACGAATACCGGGACGGTCGGTCCCTGCTCAACACGTAGCGAACGCCGAACCCTACCCCCGCCTCCCATCCCCTCAGGAGACTCGATCGTTGGTGGGGGTAGGGTCCGGATGTCGTCACCTACTTGGGTTGGGCGGGAGAGCCGGCATTGTCTCAAGTGGCGCTTCTCCGATGCACAGGCGTGTTGATTGCCATGGGGGGGCACTTGGTCCTAAGATGTTCCCGCTTCCCAACTCTCGGGGCCCGTGTTGGCCAGCCCTGGGACCGCCGAGAACTACCCGCGATAAAAGACCCGTCCCGTGGAAGGCCCCAGAGTCCAGAGCCCGTGCTTCCATCAAGACCCCGCCTCGTGGCAAAGAGGCCTTCCTGGCGCTGTCCTTCGGCCGTGTGAGTGTCTGTACGCCAGTGACGGGCCCAGGTTTGGCTTAGCCTGGGCCGTTGGCGGTTCACAGCTGCGGATCTCCAGCGTCATGCTCTTCACGACGTAGCAGCGGCGTCTTGTCTTCAGGTCTGGCAGGGGCAACTCTCGGTGTTGCAATCGGTGGAGGCTTGGTGGAGTCGTTCGGCAGGAGGCGCCATCTCGGTAGCAGTGCTTGCGAAACCGTGCGCACGGGAGCATCAAATCCAATAGTCGATACACTGCGAGCGGAGCTTGCCCGCA